AAGCAGGAGAGTCGAAAAATCCCAGCACGCCATGCAGGGTTGATGTTTGGTCAACAGATTCTAATTAGAGTAAGTTTTAATAATCAAGCTTTTGTTTAATTTGTTTTCAGAACTCGTCCTTAATTAAAGTGGGTCGGTCCCAATCGTATGAGAATTATCTTCTTTATGTCGACTCCTTCTTCTTCCTCCTCTTTTTTTTTTTTTTTGGTCAAAGAGTTTCTAGAGGAATCCAAGGATTTGAGGGACGTACTTCAATATAATACTATTACTAAGTCCTGAAGCCTACATCTGCTGACCTAGTACTTTCGGCACTGACCATTTGATTCAGTCCTTCGTGTTTCTTTATATCGACTTCATGTTTTTTTTTTTTCTTCTTCTTCTTCTTTTGTCAAAGAGTTTCTAGATGAATCCAAGCATTTGAAGGACGTACTTCAATATAATACTAAGTCCTGAAGCCTAAATCTGCTCACCTAGAAGCCTAAATCTTTTTTTATATTTTTTTAATAATTTTATGTATTATTTAAATGATTAATTCATTTTAATTATTTAAAATCTGTGATATTAAATGTATTTACTAATTTAATAACACATAAAAATTAAGAATAAAATAAAATAAAAAGATTATTCATGTATCACTACCTATTGTATATTCATCGTAATATGGTTTTTTTATAATTGATTTTTTATATTTAAGAATTCATTCAAAATATTATGATTAAAATATTAATTTAATATCTCAATTTTTAAATTTGTACTACATTTTTTTAATTTTAAAAAATATTAAAATTGATTTTAAACTTTAATTTTTAATATCCAAAAAAATCTTTCTATTAACAAAAGTGTTACTTACCTTATTATTTTATCACAAAACCAATTCTTTTTTAAAATACTAATGACATTTGAAATCAAATATTCATTTTTTGTAATCATAATATATTTCTATTTATATATCACATTGATATACAATCAAAGTTAAAAAATTAAATTGGTACTCATGATTAAAATTTAAGCACTAAATTGGT